TTTCACATGTCGGTGATTATATATTTTCAACTAGCCCGTCGTTATGTAATAATTATTGTCATCAAAGCTGTTTCCATGAGTTTTCAGGATGATTGTCAGCATGACGTATTATGGCGTCACAATGAACGCTGGCAATATGGGTGGTAGCTTCTTTTTGAATTTCTTCCTGATGGGCTTTGCTGAATTACCAGGTATCCTAGTAGGAATGATTATATTAGACCGGTTGGGCAGACGGTGGTCGAATGCTGGGAGTATGATAGTAGGAGGCGTGGCTTGTGTAGCTACTATACCAGTTGTTTTACTCGGAGGAGATGGTACATTTTAATAAAATTGAGCCGCGTCATGACAAAACCAACATAATGGGTTTGCGACCAGCATGGATCCAGACCAGCCTGCGCATCCGCGCAGTCTGATCAGGATCCATGCTGTCCGCTTACGAACCATATAACAAGTCGAACAGCATGGATCCTGATCAGACTGCGCGGATGCGCAGGCTGGTCTGGATCTTTGCTGGTGGCAAACCCATTATGTTGGTTTTGTCATGACGCGGCTCAAATTTATTTTATCTATATAACTTTTACGCTTATTTTCATATAAATGGGATTTAAACTATTTTAGAAACTGGTATAGTATGTCCGCTTAGCTAAATAGGGAGAGCACAGGAGTCAGAAGTCGATAGTTCGAGCCTTTATTTGCCCGTGACAATTTATCTCGAATATTTAGGAATAGATCTCTGCCATCACAACATTTTCGTCAAGACTTTTTACGCTATGATTTTTTTTATCAATTTTGATATTAATTAAAAAAAATTAAACACGGTTTTGCTAATGTTTCAAGACCGCTAGGTGTTAGATGTGAACTAAAATAAAAAATAATTTCGGAAACATAAATATTATGAAAACAATTTTTAATACTAGTATCGCACCGTTTATTTCCAAAACAATGAGAAATCATTCAAGTAATTAATAATATCGATTCAACACTTAAAAAAATGATTTTTTTTCAATCATATCGACAGACTTGACACCACATATTACAGATAAGACAATTGTCAAACTATTTCTTTGGCGTATCCGCCATCTTGACACAATCATGTGATAAGACCATCATCACGTGATTTGTGTACCGGTGCGTGGAGTTTGGAAACGCGATACTGGACCGTTTTCAAATCATGACAAATACGAAAAAGAAGTGATGAGGAAAGAAACAAGTACTACTAAAAAATGTTTAAAGACTTTAGATGTTTCATGCTGATGTTCTTTCTATATTTATCAACTTTGCAATATTTTTCAGAACTACAACCACTCACTATCACTTTAGCGTTGATAGGCAAAGCGGCTTCTGCTTCTGCATTTTCCATAATTTATATGTTCACAGCAGAGTTATCTCCCACTGTAGTTAGGAACGCTGCAATGGGTCTCTGCTCATGCGCAGCTCGTGTTGGGGCTATGTTGGCGCCATATATAGCTAAATCTGTAAGTGATATACATATACTAGTATATTATAAGATTGACTTATTTCTTTCTCAAAATTTTGCAAATAGACTTCATAGTTTAAAGGAACATTCGGTACCAATACTTATTTCTTGCCGCTTGATGTTAGGTCATCTCGTGTAGTTAACGGCATTATGACGTCACCATTATTGTCTTATGACGGTAGTAGTATAATTTAATAATAAGGAAAATTGAATTCCTAAATAAAACCAGAAAAGGCCAAATCGAAGATGTTGCAAGCTCAGTTTGACTGAGCCATTGTGAAAAATTCAAGTTACCGTCCAGCCCCCACCCGCTAGCACCGGCTTGAGCAAAATTCAACATTTACGTGAAAAAGTAAAAAATTTGAATTTAGGAATAAAGAATACTTGAATAATCTGAATTGATATTATTATTTCACATATTGTAAGTGAACGTTTACAGCTCTAAACCGCCCCAATAGCCTCACAATCAACAGTATTGCATCACTTATCGTCATGATAATTGATGATATGAACTATAAATTGTTGCTACAATACTTTCAAAAACTTGATGATGCTTGTTCAAGATTCAGAACAATACTCGCTACAGCTTTTAAGTAGAGAACGATTTTTAATGTCATCGCATTGACATATAAACAATTTTTTCACACACTTATGACTAACAATACAATCGGTCCATTACTTCCCTTTGTTCCGCCATTTCAAATATGTTCTTTTTTAAACACAGGGTGAAATGATAGGAGGTAAATTTGGAACTATAGAACCATTGGTTATATTTGGTGCTCTATCAATTATCGCCGGTTTGTTACTGTTGCTGTTGCCTGAAACACACAGACAAATACTTCCAGACACAATAGCTGAAGGGGAACAGTTTGGAAGGTATCGTTTTTTCAAAAGTTTTGTTTTCATTTTTTTTTATTTACATCCATGACTGATATTGTCTCAAGGACGAGTGCGTGGCATTGAGCGACAGAAAATTTCGAGAAGAATGTCTTATGTCTTGTAAGCATATACAAGTCAATATGCACCATGTTTTACGATTACAAGCACCTGCTATATCCGGTCATTAGCATTGAATCTGTCTTGCGTAAACAGGAAGTTGACTCGTATAAAAAAGCCAAAAAGCAGTCTAACAATAATTGAGCCGCGCCACGGCAAAACCAACATAATGGGTTTGCGACCAGCATGGATCCAGACCAGCCTGCGCATCCGCGCAGTCTGATCAGGATCCATGCTGTTCGCTATCCGTTTCTCCACTTGTAATAGGGTTTGTAAGCGAACAGCATGGATCCTGATCAGACTGCGCGGATGCGCAGGCTGGTCTGGATCCATGCTGGTCGCAAACCCATTATGTTGGTTTTGTCGTGGCGCGGCTCATTTTCATTCGTGGAAACAGCTGTGATATTTACACATTAGGAAACGTGACTTAAACATAACTATAATTCTCGTGTTCACACGGTGAAATATATTTATCTTCTTCTTACACTGAAACAAACAAAGATTTCATCTTTATATTTATATACAAAATCAACACTTTTACTGCTACAGAGCGCATTGCCATAAAAAAAATCGGCTGCATTTAATGTTCAGTTTAAAACTTATATTCATATTATCATTATTTCAGAAAAATGCAACGAGAAGACAAAGAAGTTGAGATACCATTTATATCAAATGGGAAGGATATGTCGTGAGAGAACTATATAAACACACAAAAACAAAACGTAAATGAATTGTTGAACCATTCATAAAAAATCGTGTGAACTACTTTAATTATACTTAAGTTATTGTTTCCCAGATGATTATGGGTAATCGGCGAGTTGTTCCAAATGTGCACCGAAAGCAAAATGTTCTTATATATGATATATATCATGTACACCATAAATCTCAGTTTGTCATTTTTCCAGATATAAAATTGAAACAGTAAACTTAATGCAGTAATGGTTTATTTGTGTCATAAAAAGTGTTTTTTAAAAATCTTTTTATGCTTTTATGATCAATTTCAAATTGTTGAGTGGTATAATTTATTTTTATTAGACTTAGTGTGAAATATTCATTATGCAAATTACACAATAAAATGTTGCATAAATTTTCTTTTAATAGACTTCTTAATTGTATTGTTTACATTGTGCTTCTATAGCAACTAGTATACGTTTAGTAAACATTCATTTGCAACATTCTAACCATATGGCATAGCAGGGAAATGTGCAAATAGTCCCAGTACTGTCGGGTCAAAGTAGTGTTCTGTTTTGCCTCAAAATAACCAGGAACACATAGCAAATGTTCTGGCGGAGGTTTAATATCATACTGTCACCCAGACGACAGAGTTTTACCAGGGATTCGCTGGTTTGAAAAATGACTGCCATGGTTCGTTTTAAAGTCACAATGATACTCTGACTTCCCATTTTAATTGCGAAAGAAAACCTTAAGTAGTAAGTCAACGTCAAGTTTATACCCGAGTAAATTAACCCGACGTTCCATTATAAGCTAGCGCGTGAAGTAATTCGGACCAAGTGTCTATGCATATTATACATCCATTAAATTGATGGGACATTTAAAACACTGAATAGAATATGATTTATATAAGTTATCAAACGCGTATTTTGCAGTTTATCCCGCCTACCTGTAATTGCTATACAGGTATTGCATCGATGTTTACATACTAACACATAATCATATTCACTTTCCTCATTTTTTGTCATTTTTAAAATTTCATAAAATTGTTTATGATCGATATACCATGATTCACGCATTTTTTTAAGAATAAAATTGATCAAATATCAAGCGAATCTTCACCTATATTCAGTAAACGTACGCTCTTGAAACTCTATTTGAACAGTTTCTTTTTAATGTTATGATAGTTAATTAAGCAGTGGATGTTTTAAGTAAATCGTGCTTTGTAAACTTTAAGGAAATTGAAGGGACTTCATATTTTGACAAGGTCGCGGCTAGCTTATGATGATCGTGCTATAAACGGTATAAACCACATTTTAACTATAGATGGAAGACTTGTCTTATCAATATAAAATGTTCGAGATATCAATGTCGGGGTCATATATGGATTACTACAGATATCAATGTCGGGGTCATATATGGATTACTACAGATAAAGTCAAGGACGAATTACTGTGTCATTCTTTCGCCCTTTGACTTGTGCTTAAGGTTGAAAACTACATGCAAAATAGAAGCTACATGTGTTTCAAAAATGCAGACGAGTTTTACCACAGACACTCGGGAACATGGTCGTTGATTGCGGGTCATATTTCATTTTTCTCCGATACATCCGGATATTATGAAAATATAATTAAGGACCTTAAACTGTATATAAAGAAACTCATCCCGCCGGTAACCTCAAGCTTTACTTCTTTCAAAAATGGCCTCATAAATACTAGTATATGATAATACGTTATTTTTTTACGAAATATTCTTTTTTACGTTAATTTATTCTATTATTTTGTACATCAAACATTATTATCTTTACAAAAAACCTAAGTAAGAAAGTATTCAATTTAAAAGTGAAAAAAACAACAACAATAAATAAATAAATAAATAAAAAAAAAAAGAAAAAAAAGAAGATCTACACTAGGCTCTGTGACATTCTGTATACTAAACAAGGGAAGTAACCGCTGCGAGTTCTTTGCAAGATCGCGAAAATGCGCCCGTCCCTAGTGCATAATTATGTCCAATCGAATTAACTATAATTCTCTTTCTATCTGCAATTATTCTGAAATTCTATTTCTGTCCTGATGACATCAACAGACAATTATAATCCCTGTCAGTTGTTTAATTCCGTCAATTTAGGAACTTACTGAGTATATATATATATATGCTTAAAAAATAAAAATATTGAAATAATGTAATCTGCGGATTCCATCTTTAAAATAGACAACTCATTCATAATTATTTTATTATTATTATCATTATTATTATTATTATTATTATTATTATTATTATTATTTATTATCATTATTATTATTATTATTATTACTCGTATCATTATTATAAAATTAAAAGTTATAATAAATAAAGATACAAATTAAAAACTGCAGCAGCCTTTGACGTCGCTGATTCTACAACAACAACAACAACAACAACAACAACAACAACAACAACAACAACAATTACAACAACAACAACAACAACAATTAATACAACAACAAGTTATGTTTTAAAAGCTGAAGCCTGGCAGAAGATATTATTTATTCATTTATCAACAGACTATTAGCGGAACATTTACCAGTGCTAGGAACGTTTATGTTATCTTGTAAACTAAAAAGAAATAAACATGGACATGTGCGTTCATTAACAAAGCGAAATTGTCTGTCAATAATAATTAAGTAGTATGTAGTGTCCAGTCAGGGCGATCGCTCTAAGAGCACTGCTTATAATTGTTCCGACACAAAATGATAAGTAAGACGCAGTTAGAGGTGATATATAGTAAGTTATGTGATCATCATGTGATACGATGTATTTCTCTTGTTGAATGCACGTGTTTTCAGTGACTCATAATTAACTCGGTCTAGATTCATCTGGTTTTAAATTAAGAGGAACTTGTCCTCTGTATAGAAACAACATATTTCTGTAGATCTGTTAACATAATATATCAGCTATGTATGTATAATGCTATTTTAAATGTAAGTAGAATTTTGCTGTGTTTTATGATTTTATAATGTGTTGTTGTTGTTGCTGTAGTTGTAATAGTTGTTGCTGAAGTGCTGTAGTGGTTACTTGGAATTATCAGCATAACCCAGTATTTTACATGTATGCATATCAGTTGGCACTTAAGCATTGGGTCTGAATTATTTGTCAGTTAGTGATGTCCAGGGCCAAACGCGTCAACCGAAATGTTCTATAAATATAATTCAAAAGTGTACGAAAGCCGACGGACAGTATCCCCAAATCAAAGTCGATGTGTCTTTAAATAATTTTTTTACATAATTAAATTTGCGCCATGTTTCGATCATAAATATTAAGCTCTCCTACGTGTAAATATTTTCAGAACTGAGCTTTGAAACAATGAGTCTACAGTACCCTTTAAAATGATGTTCGGTCATTTAAATCTTCGTATGTCTCCACAAAAGATATTTTAAGGAAGTTTTAATAAAGTATTTTAATTCTAGCTGGTGCATATAATGCTTACTTACATAGAAAAGATCTCGTCAGAACTGTTCAAAGCGAATTTAGGCCAAAGTTAAGATGAAATAGGCGTGCGTTAGATAATATTGATTTAAAACGTGATAGGGTTGAAACTGGACATGCTAATAGTTAAATTCAGACCTTAAGGTTGCGTATTTGATAAATTCCAGTCAAATGCATGCATGCGCGTCATATCCAAAGAGAGAGGAAGCGGGTCTCTTCCCAGAGAGTTGGCTAGTTGATCTATGCCTATATGTGGAACTCCTATAGATATGAGAGTCAACATTGAAAAATGGACATTAAACAACTTACGAATATAATTTTAGCAAACATCGCATGGCATTTAAAAACTAGTGAAATTTCGACAGGAAACTTGTAATATTATGTCAACCCCTTTATGGAACAATCATCACCCTTTTTCGATATTTTTGTGTTCCCCTCTGGTAAAAAAAGCCCTGGCTCCGCGCTTGACTTAGCATACAAAACTTATTATGTATGACGTTACCTTATTCTAACTACGTCATAAAATACTTAGAAATTATACTGTAAACATTACTGTGTTAAGTACCATTTTATTTAAAACAAAACACGAAAATAAAACAGTGTAGCTTGTATTAAACAGATATTTTGAAATATGATTCATTGATGAGTAGATCTAACTGTTGAGAAAAAAAAACAGTAAAAATGAATATAATAAAACGACTGGCATTATGATGTCACAGTTTAAGAAGCACGAGGTAAGACTAAAGATATCTATTAGAGAGTATAACAAAGAAGGCGGGATGCATCCCCCAGCACAACCCAGCAACATCGGACAACTTCAGGCTTGCAAGAAGCCCAGCAGGACTCCAACCATATCAGGAGGAGAGGCCAAAGCAGGAATATTAATTAAGGATATTTTTGCTAAAGAGACTTCGGCGAACTGTTTTAAAATCTAGCTATGTCTACAGTACAGTATTGTATTTGTCTTGATCTAGCTAGATTCTATATGTTAATTGTTTGTATTTCTGTTAATGCAATAAAACCTAAATTCGCGCTGCAATAACTTACTATTATTAGTAAAGTATAAGATGATCTATGTCAGTACTGTATACTAGTAGATCTAGGTGTAGCCTTAGCTGTCATTTGTGTAAGCTGCCAATATAATCAATTTATTACTACATAATAATATCACACTTTCTGATTTCTAATCAGCAACTTGGCAAGGATGTGGAACCAACTGGTAATTACCAGAGTCGCAGTCATCAAATATTAGCAGCCATCCGAAATTTATAATATTCGAGTTTAGTAACATCTGCCGTTACTTTTCGTACACAATATATTTCGTAACTGTGCTTGACTAAACTGAAAAGGTTTTAATGGGTTTAAGTAGAATCTAGAAACTTTCCTTTAGAAAAAAAAAAAACAAAAAAAAAAAAAAAAACAAAAAAACAAACAGACAAAAAAAAAACTGAGATTGTGCGAATCCTCTCAAAGACTTTTTTAATTGTCATCTAAAAATTGTCATTTAGGGTTATTTTCGTTCACTGTGTATACAGTTTATCAACATTCTGATTTCCGTTTTATCGTTTTAAATCAATTTGGCTATAGTCTTTACGACTTATAGTAATCCACTAACAATTCCAGAATGTCTAGTTACCGTATCGTGCCTAGACCCGAAAAAACGATTGGAAATGTGATATGCATATATAAGTAGAATGTCAGGGGCAGTGCAATATTAGTACGAATGTACTTATTAACGACTTTAACCAGCATGTATATATAAAAGAATCTAACATACATGATATATATTATTTTTGCAAATATTCAAGAGCGGTAATCATTTCTTTCTTTTCTTTTCGGATTTAACTGGAAACGACAGGCTGGAAGTGGTTAAGACCTACTAATGACTAGAAAAAACATAGCATTCCATTTATGAAACGTTGCTAAGACAAATACGTAAACATGTGATTTTGCAATATATATGGACCCAGATAAATACCAGTTTTTATGAATATCTAATAAATTATCATTTTTTTATTATTATGATAGAGCGTTTACTTTTGATCTTACATTGTGTACTTTCATGTTTTACGAACAGCGCACTTCAATTTCCATATGTAATGTTAGAAAATTGACATGAAATGGTGTGAAAATTGATATGTATTATTTTCTTTTTACAATTGTTCACATTTTCTCATGCAGTTGTTTGTACCTTGGTACCTTTATCTGGCAAAAATAAAGACATAATTATCTAAACAAACTAAGTAAGCATAGGTTACAGATATTTCGTGCGATAAAAGTAGTCCCGGTCCGGTGTGTACTATACTTGCAAGGATTTTATTCTGATGATATCAGTTAAATCTTTAACTACCTCATCTTAAAAAAATCAACTTGTATTTTTTGTAAGATGTTAAAGTAACATTACCTTTAGATAATAAATTTAAATTACAATTATAACGCTATTATAGTATATCTCGCATGCAGACAAATATATACATTTACAGAAATTAGAGCTTAAATTTTAAACGTTGTCCTGATTATTTACAGTCTTTTATCAGCCTGCTTATCAACTGTCAGTGAATTGTGTTTACCTCTTTCACCGACTCCTGGTATTTTACAATATTTTATGCTATCTCAAATTTTAGCAAATAACTTTCCATGGCAAGATACTTCATTTAATCTAATAAATCTGTAAGACCGAGTTTACATATTTATAGAACGAAGGTACATTTGGAAACTTACCAAACGCGATCAGCTGTTACAAATGATGGTCACTGCATCGCGGAACAATATCAACAGACAAATTCTGCCCGATTTGATTTGCCGTAAAAAGTAGTGCGTAAAAACTGGACCACATTTTCATTTGGAACTTTCATGTCACAAACATCACTGAGCTTAATAAGAGACAAGGCTCTTTCAAAAACGAGGCGCGAAATTTACGATTATTATATAAAGGTGAACAGTGTGTGTAAAGCAAAGACTTATTGGTTGTGCATGGTACTTGATAATTCATAAACAAAAGAAGGATTTTATTCTAAAACATGACAATGAAGTTCGATGAAATATTAGAGAAACTTGGACAATTTGGAATATATCAGAAGAAAGTGTTCGGCATGCTAGCATTTCCAGCTGTCAGTATCGGAAGCTTCTGCTTTATGGTGATCGTTGTTCTATATACACCTCATCACAGGTAATGTTTACGTTTATTCACGTTGTTATAAATTATAAAACCTTGATGCATTTTTTTAATGGAACAATTGATACTTACGTCTAATTGTGATAATAATAATAATACTAATTTATTTTTTTAGTTAAAATTGTGGTATTTTTCAAACCGTGCATTTACATTATTAACAAAAACTGGCATGTAGGAGCCAATTTTAAAAGTCGTCTGTGCAGTGTTAATTTTATCATACGATTGCATTTACAGTATCAAATAACAAGATTTTTTAAAAAGTCATTTCTTGTTCAAGTATATCATTTTACAGAGATTGTAGGTGTCCGCTTTTTATGTTTACAACGAAAAATAAATAAAATAATAAGCACTTGATTGGATTAAATGTGCTTTACTTGATTATGTATAAAATTATTAAAAAGGTAATGATAATCGAACTGAATTTATAAAATTCAAAGTTCGACTAGCTACCCTCAATTTTGTCTTATTCTTGCGTTAAGTTAAATTATCACGATACACCTTTTCAATAATACTACAACTATGCTCATTTCTTTTTTCTTCTCTGGTTTTGACTTGACTTTGCTATCTTTAAAATTGCAGAAAAACAGCTTAGTTTGTTTAAATATTAAGGTCGTTTTACAGGTCAAGAGGTCAATCTAAACAAGCAAGATAACTTTTAAAGTAGGAAAGTTCAATTTTACGAGGCAGTGTTGATCCATTTAGATTTTTTTTTTATCTCAGAATGAGAATTATTGAGAGCAAGTTCACTTGAAGTTTTGTTTGTCTGAGCAAGAGAGTTTAATCTTAAACTTTGTGCAAGTGTAATGACCCAGTTATAGTGACATAACGCTAAACAAACATCCTCAGCGAAATTTTATATTCTATTTTGAGATCCTACAAATAGAATAATCATAAGGACCGACATGATTTGAAATAAAAATAAAATATTAAAGGCACATCAGAAACGCTCAGAAACGTATAATTTTGCTTTCCTTTAGAGAAGGCAAATATAAGTTTTATAACATAATAAACGTTTAAATATTTGTTTAGAGCATGTAAGATGCCTATGACCTGAAGAAAGTAGCAATGAATGTGAAATTACTTGTTGAAAAGTAGCAAAATGTAAACAAAGTAGTATTTTGACTTCCATGCAAAATACTATGTCACTGTGACTGTACTAATTTGCAAAATGCAAAAGAAGCAAAGGATGACACATTTATATGGCTAATGAGAAACGTTTTCGAAGCTGTAACCGGACACCAAATAAAGAGCTTTTGAATAATAAAATATTAGCATTTTTAAGTATAATGGGCCTTTAAATGGTTATTTTTTTTGCTGTAGTTAAATCACGAAAACGGTACATTTATATTTTTTAGTATGTTAATTTCTTCCAAAAAGTGTTAATTATTGCATATAATAAATATAGTAAAATGACAATATCATATTATTTAATTGCATGCAGGCATTTATTATAATAAATATAATGAAATAATCTAGCTTCTTATGTTAAGGAATATTTTTGTGCATTCTCCTTCCGCTTTGGCGGAAATTAACAAAATCTTTTGATTTTATTTTAACAACATCGAGCAGAGACAGCTTAAAAAAAAGCTTTTTACCTTTAATAAGATATATAAATATGCTTAATAATTTTAGTAAATTATCAACACGAGCTGTGAATTGTAATGTTTTTTTTTTCCATTTTATATGCTTAATGTAAAGTAATTGTTATACTTTCGTTATTTCCAGCTTTTATAAGAAACCAAATATATCCATCGTCCCATTATAGTGTTATTAATCTAATCTTTCTACAGGAAAATAATTAATTATTTGGACAATTATAATGCTTTTAAATAGGTCTTAAGGGGTCTTGGTCCCTTGTTTAAGGTTACCTTCATGGTTAATTGTCCGAACCATGCCGAATATTTAGAAGAAATGCAGCTAATTTATGACCATCACAAGTTAGGAACAATAATATGCATGTATATCTTGTTGCCATTCACCTTACAATAATGATAACATATTGACGATTTACTCTTTACATAAGTGATGGAATACTTTCAATGTACACCTGCCTGTAGAATGAGGGGTATAGTAAACTTCCGAAGTAAACATGTTATTGTCCTATTTCTAGGTTAAAGAGGAACGCATGCATACCTTAACCTATGATGTCACTTACGGTATTGGGTCAGTGTCCTTTATACAGAGTACTTATTTATACCTATTTCGCGATAACCTTAAAGAAGATATTTTTAGTCAACAAGTTTTGGCCTAACTGTGGCATCTCAAAATTTACTTTATTAAAAACAACAACAACAAAACACCCAAACAACAAAAATTTGAGACAATAAAACATTTACACTTAAAATCTTTACAATATTAACCTTTATTAGATAATTCTAACTAGTTCTGAACGTGGTTTGATTTTTCTTGATTTAAAAAAAAATATCTCATCTTAAAAACGCAGATAAAAATTAATGTAAAGGTTACCAAAATAAATTAAAAGGATTTATAGCGTTTTAGAAAAATGAAATGATATTGAAATGCAATGATCGAAACATATGATATGCATTTGCAAAGGCTTTTCATTAATTGTATGCGTCACAAATGTAACATATTGTATGTGTCACAAATGTTACATCTTGTGTGTGTCAAAATTGCATCATCTTTTATGCGTCACAAATTTTACATCTTGGGTGTGTCACAAATTAAAAACTTGTATGTGTCACAAATGAAACATCTTGTATGTGTCACAAAAGTAACATCTTGCGTGCGTCACAACTGTAACATCTTGTGTGTGTCACAACTGTAACATCTTGTGTGCGTCACAACTGTAACATCTTGTGTGTGTCACAACTGTAACATCTTGTGTAACAAATGCAACATCTTGTGTGTGTCACAAAAGTAACATCTGATGTGCGTCACAAATGTAACATATTGTATGTGTCACAAATGCAACATCTTGTGTGTGTCACAAATGCAACATCTTGTGTGCGCCACGACTGTAACATCTTGTGTGTGTCACAACTGTAACATCTTGTGTGTGTCACAAATTTAACATCTTGTGTGCGTCACGACTGTAACATCTTGTGTGTGTCGCAAATGCAACAGCTTGTTTGTGTCGCAACCGAACATCTTGTGTGCGTCACAACTGTAACATCTTGTGTGTGTCACAACTGTAACATCTTGTGTAACAAATGCAACATCTTGGGTGTGTCACAAATGCAACATCTTGTGTGTGTCACAAATGCAACATCTTGTGTGCGTCACAAATGCAACATCTTGTGTGTGTCACAACTGTAACATCTTGTGTAACAAATGCAACATCTTGGGTGTGTCACAAATGCAACATCTTGTGTGTGTCACAAATGCAACCTCTTGTGTGTGTCACAAATATAATATTTTGTTACGAGTAAAATACATCTTTCTTATTTGATTGTGGCAATAAAATGATTTATAAAGAATAAATCGATTTCTTATCGTTTTTCAAGTTTTTACACAAATATAGCTGTGGGTCAAAACACAGCTGACCTTGTTTTTGTTGTTTATTTTGTCAAAGTCTCAAAAGTGTTAGTCATTTGATCTGTTTTTGTTGCGAAAACAAAAATTTTATCTTTGGAGTTTGTCAGTAACGTAAATTTCGATCATTTATCTGCCAGAGTATGAAATTATTAACGACAATAACTAGAGCATGATGTTAGCATAGTACTGCATGAAATGATTGATACTAACCAATGTAACCATGATTCAATATTGTATGAAAAACAAAAATATGTCACAAAGGGAGTATCTATTACTTGGTATTAAAATCATCATCATCATCATCATCAACATCAGCAGCATCAGCATTATCATTATCATCAACATTATCATTATCATCATCATCATCATCAGCAGCAGCAGCAGCAGCAGCATTATCATTATCATCATCATCACCACCACCCCCACCAACAACAACAAGAACAAAACAACAACAATAAAAACAGCAACAATAAAAACAAGAAGTAATTTTTTTATATTCTTATGATAATAAACCACATGAATATACAGAAAATATATTAACCTGTCTGGTCCTGTGAAGGACGTTGCTGAAAAAAATCTTACTCTGCATGGTTACCGGTACAGACCGTAATATCAGACTCGAATCTCTGCACATCACAAAACAATTACCCGAGAGCCATATATCCCCTTGAGTAACGACAGAAAAAAAACCTTTTTCTTTTTCGTGCATGTTACATACACCTCATTTTTCAGAAACAAACGAAAAATTAGTATTTTTATTCAGTGCAGCATTTTTTTTCTAACAGCAGCGTATCCGTCTACAACTGTATTCGCAACATTCTAAGCACGCAATTCATTCATACAAATGCGCCGCACGAGTGTAAGGTACACCTGTGTGGCAACGATGTAATGATTTGACATGCAAAAAAATCTGTTCTGTACCGACAACTAGTGTTAGATTTTTATATTAAAAACTCATATATATATATATAGATGTATTAACTTGAGAATCTTATTTTAGATGTAAGATTCCAGGGTTAGACAATGACACATACGAAATCCAGGGCCAGTTCCACGAGGATCTTCTCAATAAAACTATTCCGCTGTCAGCCGATCCAACCTTGACCTACGACCAATGTCGCATGTACGATACCGGAAATGCACTGTTAGACTTAAGCAGACGACAATCCAATGCAACTCTTGTGAAGTGTACGGAATGGGTATACGACAAATCGGTGTTTTATGAGACATTTACATCAAAGGTATATTCAACTTGGTTTAAACATATTTATTTAAGCTCGATTGCAAAACAAGTTCTTGCAACTTATATTAATCACTTTCGAGTCCGCTTCCTGGAACCAACCAGTACTGGTGTCATATGAAGAAACATGGTCGTGACCCGAGTAGGGCTCGAACCCATGATCTCTGGGTTGAGAGGCAGACACCTTAACCATTAGGCCACCGCTCTCATATATTCAACTTGAAAAAAGTAGTTCCGTTTAGCTTATGTGCAACTGATCATTAGATTACTACATTCATCATTATATAAACAGATTAAATCTTGACCCATATGTTGAGTGAGGCCTTTCTTTCTAACTGGTTAATTATCGTATTTCATGGGTTCAAACCCCGTCAGGAGCAAGTCTTTGTTTCCTTGAGCAAGAAATGCTCAGTACTGGTTGGTTCCAGGAACGTTCTATAAGATTATAGCTTCCTAATATTCCTGAATTGTTAGATGATTATTAAACAAAGCCATAAGCACTGGATCAGAATATTGACCATTGTTTAATCAAACATTTTATATGAACAAGTTGGGTGTATCTGCAGTAGAGGCGGCAATGATATTTTGTAGCAGCAAGCTAACTGTTCTAAAATATTCTGTCAAAATGACGTACTAAGAACAAGAATATGTTCCATTGGATAGAACTTACTTATGTTAGTGCGTTATCAGTCTGTTTTACACGTGCACACGTATAATATTAACGTGAGAAAAGAACAGAATTGTTTGCATATTCACACGAGATAACATAAACAACCTGCCGACCTTAGTGTGTGGTATCGGTCAATGACCTAATATGCTTTTCCCATTCCGTTTACTAAAGACTTCTCCGTGTTTGCATAAATGATTTGACTTTTTGATTTAATTTTAATGAGCCGCGTCATGACAAAACCAACATAATGTGTTTGCGACCAGCATGGATCCAGACCAGCCTGCGCCTCCGCGCAGTCTGATCAGGATCCATGCTGTTTGCTTACAAACCCTATTACAAGTACAGACACTGATAGCGAACAGCATGGATCCTGATCAGACTTCGCGGATGCGCAGGCTGGTCTGGATCCATGCTGGTCGCAAACCCATTATGTTGGTTTTGTCTTGACGAGGCTCAAATGTATTTAATAACATAAGTATTTCGAAGATGACAGTTATTAAGTACAACAAAGACTTACAAATATAGAATTCAAAATTATGAATTCTGAAAAATGTTATACCTATCTTCTGCTACAAGAATGCCAAAAGAATTATATATACGTGTAAATTAATAATTACAACTTGATTAAACATGTGCAAAACATTATAAATAATATGTATATAATATATGACAATAAATATTGTAGAATTTATATTACTGTAACAATAGAAATCATTTCATTGTTAAGAGCTGAATATTAAGAATAAAAAAGTTAAAAAAAAAAGTTAATGGAAATATATTTTACACAATGATATTTTTTCATATACAGGCAAACTTCGTGTGCGATGACGCCCTGAAGACATCACATATACAGATGTTCTTTTATTTTGGTGTGTTGGTCGGAGATTTTGTCCTAGGAATGTTTGCCGACTCGTATGTATTACAGTATTTGTATTAAAATTAAAAAAAAACCAAAAAAAAAAAAAAAAAAAACTAATAAAAGCAACACGATCATGCAAAAATGACGCTACTTGTTTTTGATGAGACATGTTTGTTTTTAGAAATGACATAATTGTCTATGATAAGCATTTTAGGATTGAAATTATAATTAGATTATAGTTTCGTTTTACTTCACAAAATAATGTGACGATTGTTAACAAATACTACAAGGATAACTTCATTAAGACCACCTTCTTGGTAACGACACGATGAAACTCTGCAATGCAATTGTTTGTAAACCTTGTTAAATGTTCAATGAATATACATCGGATTTTCCTCAACCGTGGCTAACTTTTTCATGTCCGTCATGTATTCTTCACAAGGAAAGTGTTTCTTTTTTTTTAATTTCAGACTTGGAAGAAAGAAAGCATTATGTCTCGCACTTGCCCTTCTGTTGGTCGTATCGGCGTCTGTCACGTGGGCCCCTGAGTTTTATTCATTTGCCATTCTTCAATTCCTGGTCGGAGCCTTTGCACATGGAGCTTTCATGTGTATGGCCGTATATTGTAAGTGGGTTTAACAAGCGTACCCTTAATATAAGTATGTTTTGCTTATAGTGAAAGTGTTCCTTTTTTCATTCAAGGTTTATATCTGAATACCATGATTCTACAACAGGGTAGTTAGGTTTTTAATTCTTTATTCTCGGGCATTATGGAAAACTGAATTAGAACATTAACTACAGTCAAGGAAGAGATGGACTCTAGGTGACGCATTTGCATTCCTATTTCATTCAATTTCTGTTTACGCTTAGTTTTCATTATTTTCGTAATACAGGTAAATAGTATATGAGCCGCTTCACGACAAAACCAACGTAATAGGTTTGCGACCAGCATGGATACTGACCAGCCTACGCATCCATGCTGTTCGCTATCAGTTTCTCTTCTTGGAATAGAGTTGGTTAGCGAACAGCACGGATCCTGATCAGACTGCGCCGATGCGCAGACTTGACTGGAGCCATGCTGGTCGCAAACGCATAACGCATAAAGTTGGTTTTGTCATGACGCGGCTCATATTTTTTCTATAGGTATGGAAATTGTGGGTGTAACAAGCCGGGTATGGACGGGTATGTTCCTACAGATATTCTTCGGTGTTGGCGCGATCTACCTTGCTACCGTGAGCTTTCTTGTCAGGGATTGGATCTGGATTAATGCTGCATGTGTCATACCATGTCTATTTTATCTTGCTTTCTGGTGGTAAGTCTTAGGTTTGATACATATTCAAATTGTTGTTAGTTCACGAAAAAAAGAATAGCTTTACTGACGAAAAAGGAGTGTAAACAATATAAAACAATGCACATAATCAAACCCACATCTCATTGTTAGATACTGTAAAAATACCAATAGAACTTTATCACATTCCTTTTTATAACTTTTCTTGAAATAAGTTAATTTTCAGTTTTGATAATTATTGTCCTTTATAAATTGTTTTACTTCTACGATATTTTTAGGTCATTTGCAATTGTTAAGCACTGGTTCTGACAAAGACATTCCTCTTTCTTTTCGGCCAGAAGTCATGGAATGACACATTTGTTACCATCAATCTATTCACTTTTTCAGGTTGATTCCAGAATCACCCCGATGGCTTATCAGCAAAGGGAGGAGGCGAGAATCCGTAACAATTATTCGTAAAGTAGCAGACGCTAATAAAGTTTCCCTACCTGACTCCATGTTAGAGGTGAAGGAAGATGATAAAGGAACGCATGGCAACTTATGGCACGTGATCACGAGTCCCGTGCTCTTGAAAAGAACGCTCATTTTATCTTTTGATTGGTACGTCGTTTTTTCTAAAGCAATTATACAATATTTGATATCGTAAGTCTCATTGGTCACTCTAACAATTTGCATTTGATTAGAAATAAGTGGTCAACATTGTAATAAAAAGTAAATGATAAGTTTACAAAAACATACCAACACTAAACTTTGACATATCGCTAAAAACTTTCGTGAGCACATTGTGCAAGTCTTATACACGGTTGTTGTAGAAAACATACGCATGAACTGTCATAAAGATAGGGAACACTAATGCAAAACGAGTAGCTAATAAATCTGTATATGTTGTTTCTTACAGTTTGTAAGGGAAAACGCCACAAACAGGAAACAATTTTATCTAACAACTTTATAATTTTATGTCCTGTGTTTAAAGTATTTCATCCGGGACTTATCTTTCATTTGATTATATTACAAAAAAAAACAACTTCAAACCCTTTAAGTTTGTAACATGAGATTTAGTTTGACAATCTTCATCTTCTGATGAAAAACCTGATGCAACATTTATCTAGATTATGGACCGTCCATACAATGAATCAATCGGATTGGGCGGAGATTAAATTACGTGATAAAATTACAATTTTAATTAAAACCGCAGACTCTTATTTCTGAATAAATGCAACAGCTGGCAATCACCTCAACACAGCACGCAACACAGAACGACACGACACAACATAGCCGGACATATAACACAACACAAAATATAAAACAACATTCTACATGTATATCAAATTTAAAGTTTACACAAACATCTTGTCAAAGGTGATAGATATAACCCGGATGTGGTTTTGTTATAGCTTTTCGGTACACAACTGCTCTCATTAGAATCGTCAATACTTTGCACCTTTACCAAAATGTTACTGTAAAAGTTTATTTGTACCCCGGGATGAGCTGGAAAAACCTTACATTTGCAGAGTGCCGGAGTCTCTATCGTATGAATTGATTTTAAAGCCACACGCATTTAAGGGGAAACAATTTTGTACAGACTGGGTTTAAGAGTCTATGCAGTTAGTTTCCTTTAACTTTTGTTACTCGTCAGATAAATAAAAACACTTTAAACAGCACAAAATTTACTGTATCAATATTGAAATAGCTATAGAGCGGAACATATAAAGCACTACGAGTATATGCAAAATTGGTTAAAGTGTTTATATATTTTACCCTTTTTACAATAATACTTTTACGATTTTCTTTTGAAAGAAGCAAGACATCTACGTGTAGACGTGACATTAATAATAATTTTTATATTTATTAAGAATATACAACAGCAATTAATTAATTAATTCCAATGTGGCCTTCTGAAATAGAAACACAAGAACAGAACATGCATATATGGACAAAAATATAATGACTTAAACATGTATAATATGTTTAATTGCTATAAACTAAGATAACTCTTTTGATTATTTAATTTAATTATAATTAATTGACTCATTCATATACTTTCGACAGACACTCAACTCATACATTCATTCATTCGTTCGTTAGTTCTTTCGTTCTTTCGTTCGTTCGTTCGTTGAATGCTGAAGGTCACATGGTTTAATAGTTTCCTATATTTCGCATGTTTGTATTATAGGATGATAGTGAGTATGACGTATTATGGCGTCACAATGAACAGTGGTAATCTCGGCGGGAGCTTCTTTCTAAACTTCCTGTTGATGGGTGTGGCTGAGATACCAGGCTACCTGGTGGGTATAGCCCTCCTAGATAGAGTAGGTCGACGCTGGTGTAATGCTGGTGGTCTACTGGTCGGTGGTCTAGCTTGTATTGCAACAGTTCCAACAGTTTTACTGGGGAATTCAGGTATTTATTATCTATATCTCATTTATCAAAAAAAAAATGTTAAATATAATCAGGGTTTTCCTTTTTAGCTCACCTGTCACAAAGTGACAGGGTGAGCTTTTGTGATCGCTTTCGTCCGGCGTCCGTCCGTCCGTCCGTTAACTTTTACTTTAAATGACATCTCCTCAACCACGATGCCAATTTTATCCAAACTTCACAGGAATGTTCCTTTGGTGGTCACCTTTAAAAAATGTTCAAAGAATTTAATTCAATGCAGAACTCTGGTTGCCATGGCAACCGAAAGAAAAAATCTTTAAATATCTTCTTCTAAACAACCCTAAGAGCTAGAGCTTAGACATTTGGCATGAAACATCTTCTAGTGAGTGTCTACCAAGTTTGTTCAAATAAAAGCCCTGAGGTCAAAATTGGCCCCGCCCCAGGGGGTCATTGATTTTCCCTATGTGCATATAGTAAAAACTTTAAAAATTCTTCTTTTAAAGAACCCAAAGAGCTAGAGCTAAGATATTTAGCATGAAACATGTTCTAATGGGTGTCTACCAAGTTTGTTCAAATAAAAGCCCTGGGGTCAAAATTGGCCCCGCCCCGTGGGTCATTGATTTTCCTTATATGCATATAGCAAAAACTTAAAAAACCTTCTTTGTGGGTGTCTACCAAGTTTGTTCAAATAAAAGCCCGACGATTTGAACCATGTTGTGTTATTGTTTCAACATTGTTGACAGTTTAAAGTTCACTACAGACTAACTTTGCAAACCCTGGGCTCCTTTCTCGCTACATAATATTTTTTTCTAAAGATGGAACGCCAGAAAATACAAAAATCTTTGGAATATTAGTTAATCCAGAGACATAGATAACATCTTTGGTTGTTCACTGTAACATATAATTTAATCTTAATACCAAGACCGGCTAGACTGTACGGTAGTTTGCGGCTGAAATATTAGCGTTTTAATTTAAAGTGTTCTCTTTAATTAAGTGAATAAGTCCGTAATGGAAGTTCTGTAATGCCACAAATTATTATTCGGCTCAGCTCAAAGCTTTCCAGCAAGGCTGAAATATTTATATGTTAGTTTCGTGCATTTTTGCCTAAAGGTTTAACATCAACATGGTTGAATGACTCGAGTATTGAAACAGTATATTTGATTGTTTATCATTTCAAAAAGGCAGATAGTTTAACAAAGACATTGTTGGTATTTAGATAATTGGTTTAACTATAAACTTGAGTTTTTTCCATTAAAAGTATCTTCTTCATGTAAACATCACAGGATTAAAGCAACCTATTGACTTTCACTTCTCTCAGCGTTTTTTTTACATGTAACAAGCGTCTGTGTAATAAACCTTTTCATGGCTGTTGTATTTACAGTGCTTCTTGTCACTTTTAGGGGAATTTTCAATGCTGACAAGGCTTAGGCATATGATTTAGATGTTCATAATAAATCACTTACTCGTAGAACTCAAATAATTCAAGAAATACTGTATAAGAATGACCAAATGATACATTTTATTGGTTTTATCAATATTCAAAATACTTACGAAATATGTGCCCATTGTAGACTAATTCACTTTAAGACAAACTTTTCGTGTTATAGCGGGATTATTGTCCTCTCTACGACATGTAAAAGTCATTTATTGTGTTCAATTAATGAAGTTCAAATCTAAATGAAATTACACATTACGTCAGGTCTGATTACTAAGTGGAAAATTTCACCATGCCACAAACGAAAAAAAAAACCGTATGATTTAAGGCCGCTTTAATTATACATGTACGAATTAAAAAAAAGAGAGCTATTGATTAGTTCAAGGACTTTTCTATCCTAAATTATTCCTTGCGTCACCCTTTTTGTTCCGTTTAGATTTTTAAAGATAAAAACAAGCCCAAAAACTTGAGTTGCATGTTGAAATATTCCACAAATTTGAGCCTTTCGCGTCTTTTCTGTGAAGAAGTTTTAATGTTTTAACTTCTTTTTTTCAAGACAGTGTGAACTTTAATTTGAAACAATTCTGAAAATAATGTAAATGTTTGATTTTCGATCGCATGTAGCATCTGAATGAATTTTACACATATTTGTAGAAAACATTATTTTTGTTTTTAGATTTACAATGGTTGACGGTTGCTTTGGCACTAATAGGGAAAGCTGGATCATCTTTGGCGTTTGGTGTTGTTTTTATATTTACCGGTGAACTTCTTCCCACTGTTGTCAGAAACGCTGCCATGGGCACGTGCTCGTGTGCTGCACGTGTTGGTGCCATGCTTGCCCCTTATATAGCCAAATCGGTACGTAAATGTAAATGAATTTTTACTGATTATGCACTAAATCTTCGTCTGAAAAGAAAAAAAAACCATGTCTTTGGCCAATAGTAAGAAATAATTTGAAGTTATTTGAAATAGAAAAATGAGTTATAGATTTCTACAGATTTTTAAAAAAAACTATCTAGCGCTTAAAGATATAATGAACTTTTTAATAGATTGGCGAATTGAAGCTATCATGCATATGCTAATTTCAATTTTATAATCATTTATTTACATAAAACATTTGTTCACTGTACGCAGACATAGGGAAGGTCCGTGACAATTTCCAAATTCCTTGTTTACATAAATCAATAAACATTATAAGTACAGAGCGATACGTTAAATCCCGCAACAACGGAAGTTGGAAATTTATCATACGATAGTAAAATTTAAAATTATTATTACTATTATTACAAAAAAGATAAGAACAACATAATTGAAATGCAAAAGCTGCAACAAAAAGCCAACAACCGATGGTATCTGGATTTTAAATTTTTCTTCCGAATTTGATATGATGGATCTATATGATCTATATTATTTTTATCATTATCTATACAGGGCGAGATGATAGGTGGTGAGTTTGGTCAAATAGAACCACTGGTTGTGTTCGGGGGTCTTTCAATAGTAGCTGGCCTTTTGCTGCTTCTTCTACCAGAAACGTTGAACCAAAAATTACCGGATACCATAAAGGAAGGAGAGGAGTTTGGAAGGTATACATATAATTTATAGCTGTATGTTCAACTGAACACGTGTTTAAAATCATGTGGACAGAGATCGTCTGCATGTGCGTCTGATTTGAGCGTTCTAAAATAACAGAACAGAACATGCGTTTTATTTGACATAAACATTACAAGCTCATCGTCAGTAAACAATGAAAAAAATATAAAAAAATAATCTAGGAATAAAAACATAATAAATAAATTTGAACGCTGTGTAAAAACAATAAGTAAAAGATATTGCATTTCTTAAGGGGTGGTCTTTGGAAAACAAATTTTACTCAAATATGCTGTGTTTGAAACAAGTATTATTTCACTTTAAACTAGTTACAATGTTAGTATTGTTAAACATTATTAAAACCGGTAACGTCACGGTACGGGATGGATATTACTAGTGTTTTGACACGTATAATCAAACGTTATAAAACTTTTTTCAAGAACATGCACATGTAATATCGAAATAATTGCATAGACAAGCATGAAACAGTCTTGTTCAATACCTGGCATTCAAACATTTCTAACTCTAGATTCTACAACGATCTTTCTTGCATACATATGTCAATAAAACATAAATTAAGTATTTGTTTTATAATTCATATTAATTTTAACATGTTGTCGTATATCTAATTTCAGAAAATCTATACCACCGTATGATATTGAACTAGAAATCGAAGCACCGTTTATTATAAAGGACGCCAACACCAAACCCGTGTGTAATGGAGTGTAGACCCTGTACTTGTGCAAGGATTGGACATAAACGATGAAAATTTCATATACCGAAATAAAACCATTCCGTCCTAGTACAGCATTTATACATGGCTCAGTATTATCATTGCTCAGTGATATTGCCGTTTTTCCCATTTTTAATAGATATTCCATTTTGTACATACTTATATATACATTGTATGTATATATGGTTATATTTTTTAAAACCCTGAAGGGTTTATAGTTTACTCAAGTCAATTGTGTTGTCATTTTAAAAGCACACAAATCGTTACATATGAGCTTATTTTAAAGTTATGTCCTTTGACATAAAAAATCTTCTTTTTTTAATTTAGCATACGGACAAACCAGCGTGAATGGTAACATAGCCTCAAATGAAAACAGAAGCAAAATCGCTAGTGCCTTATTGAGAATAAAAGAACAACTCGGGCATTAAATAATGTTGTCTTTTATAAAATAGAAAACAATTTAAATGTTTTCTATTTTGCACTTTACTGATATAAATACATGTATCTCATAACTTCATATTTTTTCATTCGAATGAAAATGCTGGATACTATTTTGTTAAAATATCAAGATTGTTGATTCATTTTTCATATATTAGTCGTTTGAAGCATGCTTCCATTTATTTCAAATACTTTTAGTACTTTCATACAGTATCGCATGTCAAATCTACTCCATATCATGAGTGTTTATATTCTTTCTAATATCACACAATTATGTTTCATGGTTTAGAGGTTCATTTATTGACAAGTTACTGTTAAATTGTATAGATATAATAAATTTGTATACTTGCTTATATAGTTTTATTTGTTTTATTTTGTTTGTTATGATTGTGAAACATTGATGCAGTACAATTGTAAAAAACGAGTCTGGTTGTATAACGAATCAAAATTTCAACAGTTTGTAATATATATTATAATAGTATATGTCATATTTGCCATGTCCTAGTGGATATGTAACTTTTACGTCTTTTAGTAAAGGCGTTTGCTTAACAATGAGGTAAGTCCACTCTGATTAGACGACCAAGTTTATTCACAAGTACTGGTCTGCACTTATAAATTAACCGCCTCCGTGGTCGAGGGGTTAGAATCGATGACCTCTAATCCAGATACCTCTCTGACGTGGGTTCGATCCCCGGGAGATGCTTTGGTAGTTTAGCACTGAGGAAGGTAGTCTGATATACTAGTGTAACTCTCCAGTAACGATGGTTAGGAAAGTACTCGCCTATATGACTGAAAAACTGTTGGGAAAAGGCGTAAAAAAGAGAACGCATACTTTGTACTTGAAATTTATCATTTATTGCATGTAGTATAACAATATGTATAAATTTTCTTTTTTAGCACCATACATTAACAATTAGAGCAATAGCACCTTAATTCGACATACCCATTAATTTGACACCTTTTTTTACAAACATCATGAAATCCCAGAATTATGCGTTTTAACTGATATTTTGATCGATATTTACGTTCATCATTCATTTGATGACGTCATGAATAAAATTCAGACCACATAGGCACCGATTTCGCTGACATTGGTTAGTACAAAAGTGTGGCTCGAAAATTCGAACATTAAAAAGTCGCTTCTTAGGGAAACATGTAAGAGGTCGACCTATGTAACAGTAAAACTACTATTTATTTTTTGTCAAGTTTTGCTATTGTTAACTTTTTAAACACACTTATTGAAGTTGTTCTTCAAACTGGACCTTCAACAGCTTGTCTAGAGTTATATTTCCAGCCAAGGCGCGAGTGTCGAACTTAGGAACCAAATTGAAAAGTATGTTCGTTATTTTGACACATGTGACTGAATCAATCAAATTTAGAACTAACTTAAATCAAACTGACCAAATATGGCATTCCATGCACGTATATTGTATTTGGCTGTGGACGAATAAGTATTAATTAGAGTATATAAATGTTACTCCGTTAACGATGTTTGTTATTGAGGTAGATTAGATGCCGCTAATAAATTTTCATGTAGAAAAATACATTTCATTAGTAACATGTAATGGTAATGTTTCGTGATGCTGTTGGTATACAATGTTTTTGGTTTAAATGAACTTCAGCAATAGGTATATTAGTGTTTTACAGTTTAAATTACATATTTATGCCTAATTGTGTACACATGTCAAGTGAAGCAAATGAAAAGAAATATTGCAGATGTTCGCCATCTAAGTTGATCAACACTATTTCTATATATGGTTCAAAGTGGTGTAATACACGTAATATCAAAGAAGATAAAAACAGCAATGATATGTGGCATCCTGACTGATAAGTGGAAATGCACCAACTAGTTTGAATCCTAACAATGCGTGCTGACTGTTACAGTACATGTTACCCGCTTATCTGTTATAAAGTAAAGATTACAAGTCTTAGATCATTATGTATGGAAGAAAAATACTTTTAGGAGACTATTTTTACCTAGAAAAGAAACATTTGCCGGTATTGGTTATTTAAAAAACCGGTAGGCTACACGCTACACCGGCTCCCTTAGTAAAGTGACAGACTTGCTTTGACTTTGGGCCATTAGAGATATAATCAATGGTGAGTATGGACTCTACCGATTATGTTTCAGAGAAGACTGATAATTTAAACTAAGAACTGATCTAAAAACAGGAAATGTTTCCACTATAAAGCCTGTCTGTGGTACATAATGTGCACTTCTGACGCAATGTACATGTAATTTGTAATCCCCGCTTCAAAGATTAATAATTAACCTTTTTCTCTATAATCAAATTATGTGTGTAAGACATACAAAAATGTATCTACACAAGTCATGCACATTTTTACTAATTCAAGAGATGAACTGATCGTGTTTTTATTACAATATTCTTTCATAATCATGTTTGGCTCGTAAAGTGTTATTAATAGTGTTGGAATTCATTTTATTTGTATATTATTTGAACTTTTAATGTATTTCTTAAACCTTAATTAGGGTGTCGAATTTAGGATCACCATGTCGAAATACCGGACCCTCAACGGACAAAGCTTATACTATCATTACATGGAAAACCTTATATGCTACGTAAGAAGTAGTGTTTGAAAAGGGCGCGAAAATGTCGGATACTGTAAAGTGCGGTGTCGAAATAAGGATAAACATAAAAATGTTAAATTGTAACGAAAATTTATCGTAAGGTGTCGAAATATGGGTACTTTACTCTATATAAACATTAACAAAACATATTACATACTCCCGATGCATATTTGTTACTTCGATGCATACATATAACCCGGGTATTGTAACAATTGTCTGTTTGGTGAATTTTGTTGTGGTAGCGTCATTCCATACTGAACAGACGACATTGACGGGACACGTGGTCCCGCGCTTAAAGCAGAAGTTGCATGATTCATGGAAGCTAAACACTGATTGGCTGCCTGAAAATTTCGATGATTTTGATTTGTCAACATTTGTCCAATAAGATGCTGATTATTGTATTGACCAAAATATCCCTGCATCATGTGATAATTAAATGGAAAGTTTTGAAGAGGCGATGACGTCATCATTTGTCCCGATGGCATATATCCGAAAGGTGTTGGTGCCGTCTGTAGGAAAGAGTGCTGACTACTGTCGTTAACGCGCCTGCGTGACCTTGCTCTCTTGTTTTGGAACCATATCTGTAAAGAAATGAAACAGAACAATATGAAATAAGCCGCATTTCACGAAAATACATTGATAAATTTAAAATCATGCTTGTTTATTTATTATTGAACTCAGTATGTTTTTTTATAATGACCTCGAAGTTATAAATTAATAATTCAATCTTTATCTCGCTCTAAATCTATTGTTGTATTCAAGTATTTGACTGTCTATATGAAATAGACTATGTATATGTAAGTTATAAGTTGTTTTCTTTTCGGACAAAGTCCGTTTGTTATCGGTTCGACTGCCTGTAAAATTAACAGGGAAGAACTGAATATAAGAAGAATTTCCATTGGTCATTTTAAATTATAAACTGAAATCGATGAATCTCATTGGTCACTCTAAAATAAAATGTAAAGGACAGTTCTAACCATTCTTAAATAAAATTGTAAGGATATCACTATGATAAAATGTAAGGGAAGGTTTTGTCACTATGAAATACGTACAATGGATAATTCTTAAATAAAATGTACAGGAATGAGGATAGTTCTTTAACTTTTAATGATTACAAAATTTATAAAGTCAAACCGAAAACAAATAAAAAGGACATCTTAAATAGAAGTTGTTCTTCTTTGAAAAAATATCAATATATAATGCTATAATTTAATTTCAACGTTACAAAATGGGTTTTTCTATAACTACAAGAAATAATTATCATTTTGTTGTTATGCAAATATTGCTAACATTTCTTTTTGTATTGAAATCTTTAAAATGATATACTTTTACATGTTAAACAATTATACTTCGGCTGAGTATATTAAAAAAAAAATTATTCTTGTTAAACCTCACCTTGACTTGCTTTTCCTTGATGTTCAAATCCTTTGCAATGTTTTCCATCATTTCAGACTCAGGATAGGGTGTCTCGTAGAATATCTTTAATAATGACTTTATTTGTTCATTTGTAAAGTTGGTTCGAGCCTTTTTCTTTGTCTGTGCTCCTGTTTGCCGTTTACTTTTATCTTGATCAGTACATGGAAGTTCTGGTGTAGACGTTGATCTTGAAGAATAAGATTCATCACTTGGTGAAGAAGCACCGCTAGAGGGCATATTATCAAGTAAGGAAGCGTCAACACTAGGTGGCGTTACGGTCAACGGTAAAACGCTGATGTTTGCCGTCGGAGGTGGGGTAATGGAGCTTGAATATGGCGAAACAGACCTCTCTGATGACATTGACATGTCACTTGCAGAAATATCACGTGTTGAGTTTTCTTGACTTAAATCTAAAAAATAAAAGATAAAATATATGTAACAAATGTAAAGAAAACTTAAAAAAACTATTGTTTAATATAGAATGCAGTTTTATAAAATCTTTCTCCATGAGTAAACAAATCATTTAACCTAGAAATGATATTTCTAGGTTTAAGGTTTGCCAAGCACTTTCGTGTACATATATATCTTTTAAACAACACTCCGTATCTAACATTGTTTTTATTTATCTTTGTTACATTCCGTCGATTATTTCAGTCACTAAATATAATACTGTACGAATTTATAGATAACTCTACTAATATGAAATAATATTTTACCGGAATCATTCAACGTAGAATTCTGTAGTAGATTTGTATCAATAAATGGCATACACTGGTCTGATCTGTATAAAGAGTAAGGCGAGGCACGCAGATTGTTTGTAGGCATTTTTCCAGACGTCACTGAAGAATCTCCAAGCATGCGCGTTACATTATGAGTGACATTTCCGGTTCCGGGTAGAACAGAAGAAACGCTGAAACGAGCTGCGCTTTCTTTTTTATATTCACTAGATTGTGTTTGTACTTGTAAAGAATTTGCTGACCAAGTAGAAAATTTCTTTGAGTATTGGTCCTCCATGTTTGTAATGTCTGAGGGGACATAGCCCGGCAGTTGTCGGCTGTAACTGGGTAACTGTAGAAACTGTCAATAAAAGAATAAAATGTGTAAGTACACTGAATATTTTTAACAGTCAGTTGGCAATACTTTCAACCACCATGAGTTTGAAAGAAACATAAGTCCTTATTATTATTACATTATTGCTATTATATTTTTTTCAGTACATATTTTGCAACACAAAAAGAGTAGAAAACATTTAAAAATGAAAGAGAAACTTTATTAAGAAACAACCCTTTTTTCATTTACTTAACGATGGTTAAATGATGACTTTTTCAATTTTAATTTACATAATTATATGTTTGACTGCTCACAATTTTGACTTCGTTTCTTTTTCGATAAACATAAAAAATAATTTAGTTATTGAATGTCAAAAATATCGTAAATTTTAAAAGTGACTTACGTGTCCCTGCATTTTTCAAAGCGTGTTAAGATCGAACTTTAATAAATCACAGCTTCTGTAGATAATCGATATGTATCAACTTCTGATGTAGAAATTATTTTTAATGATAGTGTTTGCTATAACAATAAATGTATTTTAATGTTCAGCTTGGGGTCCATCCTGCTTTTATACCAAACATATTTTTGCTTCAAGTTTGACACTGCTCAAATTTTGATTGTTCTTGACATAATTACACAAACAACTGGCAAACAAATTTAGTCAATCAATTGACTATAGTAGATGATTTCAATTCAACGTTTCACCAATTAAACATTGAAGTTGTTTTACAATAAAAGTTTGTTTTTGACGCGCCATCTTTTGATGACATTCTGATCACATTTGATAGGAAACATCTCTCAACAACAATAGAGCAATCTCGAGGAGTGACACTGGTACACTGTTCAATGAGAGAACGTGCATTTTGTGACTTGGATGAGTTAGGCACTTGAATATTTATTATTTTGTTATTTTTTACATATCATATGTCCATTCTTATTAACAATATAAGTTTAACGGTTTGACACACGCGAATTGTTTTATAAGAAATATGAATGGATGTGAAATCGCACGACAAAATAAAGCAGTTGTCTAACTTTTGCAAGTTCTAATTGCCACATTTTAGTAATCATAATACGTATACAACTATATGTACTATTTAGCAAATGAACCCTTATTTTTAATTTCATTGTATTATTTATACAGAAGCTGCCTTTTAAAGAGCCACTACTAACATTGCACTTATTATTAACTTCATTTATTCATATTAACATCAATTACGTGTAATAAAAGGAAATTTTCTTGATACGCTTTACGCTTGATGCACTATATGCCTGATACACTAAAGGCTTGATACGCTATATTTTTGATAAACTATATGCTTGATACACAATTATGCTTAATACACTGTTTTGCTTGATATGCTATTATGCTTGATACACTGTTTTGCTTGATACGATATATTCTTGATACGATATATGCTTGATACGCTATAAGCTTAATACGCTATCAGCTTTGTACGGTATATTCTTCATTCATTATACGTTTGATAAATTTTTTTTTCCTTAAAACGCTTTATATACATGATGTGCTTTATCCTTGATACGATTTATGCTTAATGCGCTCAATGCTACATACGTTAAATGCTTGATACCTTTTATGATTGATATGCTGTAAGCTTGATACGCAATATGCTCGATACGATACATGTTTGATACGTTATATTCTTGATACGCTATAACCTTGATACGCAAAACTCTTGATACTCTATATGCTTGATATGCTATATGCTTGATAACCTGTATGTTGATACGCTATATGACTGAAACGCTAAATGCTTGATAAACTGAAAGTTTGACAAGCTATAAACTATATGTTTCATGCTGTATATGTTTCATGCGCTAGAAGCTTGATATACTATATGCTTCATAAGCTATATGAATGATACGCTATAGGTTTGATATGCTATAGGTTTGATATGCTATATCCTTTACAATACAAATACAATACATATAAGCTTGATATGCTATATGCTTTGTATGCTTTATGTTTATGTGCTATAAGCTTTTTCGCTATATGCTTTGTACGCTATAAGCTATATACTTGATTTTTTATGCTACATGCTTGAAAACCTATATGCTTGATACGCTATATGACTGATACTCTAAATGCTTTATACGCTGTTCTACTCGATATAAATATCAAAAATAATAAAAGACCATTTTATGACTGGCAGATATTGTGGACTGCATTCTATAGTATAATACAAAACATCAGGTAAAAGTAAACGATAACCGGAAAATTATGACGGATTTTATCGTGTGTAACTATAAAAATACAATTGTTTATGTTTAAACGAAATCTTGTATATTCTTACTTTATAATTTAAATGAAATAGCTATCCTGCCGATATATGTTTGTGTTAATATCATTTGTTATCTAGGGAGAGAACTATATAAATTTTGTTCGTTCTAATCCCTTTAAATTTTATGTAACAATTAAATACAAATAAAATGTAATATATGTAAAATATTGAAATAAATCTGTTTAAACTCATTTCTCATTTCTTAGATTCTAAGTTACATATTTTTCTCTCGGACAGACATCATAAACACAATTAGACAATTATTGTCAATGTGTGAATAATTTGTCCCCATTGTTGATTCACATCAAAAGTCTGATTGGTAAAGCGAGTGAGTTAAATTCATCAATCGCGAGTTGATTAACTTAATTTGTTTGCAGTTTGTTTGAATGTTTATGTCTAGGTTATTAAATAGTTTGATATATGTCAGATTTGAGACATTATGATGGTAGTATAAAAACAAAATCTACTCCAAGCTGTACCATTAAAACAAGCGAGACAGACAAACAAACAACAATATAACAAAACGATAACCAATAGAAAGACCCAGAGAAAATGATTGAAAACGTAAGTATTTTTTATATAAAACAATAATGAACAGAATTCAATACTTTACATTAATTCTAAGTAGATAATTTTGTGAATACAAATATTTTCAAATATCTTCAAATATACAACACAAGGCTTTGTCAATTATATATCAAAATGTAAATAAAATATGATACAGTATGCTTTTTTTAATAATTGTATATTATAATATACACCAAATGGTTTAATTAAAATCATGAGGTAAAAATGAAAATGCGAGAATAATCAATATTTCTCAATCAGTGCATATTTGATTACAAATTAAGAACATATTTTGTTTCTGACAATTCACAATATTTTTTATATATAATCATATTCGTGCATGTATGAATACATATGGCTTCTGATTTTTTTGTGTGTCATTATTACAAGTACTGACAATCGTTTAATGTATGATATATTTTAGATAATGTAATTGTAACATACAGAAACAAAATGTTGATGTTGATATTAAAATTTATGTTAAGGAAATATTATCTCAATCATTACGAGTACATGTTTCCTTCCATGTCATACCAAGGCTATGCATGTTGTTAAACAACGATGAGCTTGTAAGGCTTAAGTCAAATAAAATTTATGTTCTGTTCTGTATAAACAAATTAAAACTGAAAGTAATTGGAAAATATTTTTCATTTATCAAAACTTTATTATTCTTTTGTAGAATCTACAATTTACTGAGAAAGGTCAACATCCGAGATATCCTCCTCACGGCTGTACAAATATGGAAAACAAATACCAGGCAGGATATTCAACACTGAATGTTTCCTCAAATAGACAGAGCCACTTGCCCGGCGCAGAAAACAACACTCCGATTCGTTTAAGCGCCTCACCTGTTCTACCAGGAACCGTAAATGTTACACATAACATAACGCGCGTGCTCGGAAGTAAAATGCACACGCTTGGAAATGATTCAACCGATCAAAGAACACAAGAAGGTCACATGTTGCCATACAGTACTTCTCACTTTATGTCTTTTAGACATAACGCTCTTCGGGAATATACTTCATCATGTGATACAGGTTAGATATCATGTTAACACAAAACCTTTGTGAAAAGATCTAAAAGAATTTTTACGAAAAAATACGTTCTATATAATTCAGACCCAATGAAATTTATTTAATTAAGTCTGTTTGAAATAAATACTAAAAATTAAATATATCATTTGTCAAAATGTATCTACACGGTCTTAAAAGTAATGCTACAAAATTCAACTGCTATAAAATACATTGTTATTAATGAATTTCAGATGTAAACCAAGAATGTTCGGAATCTGACAGTTCTACAAGTGACATGTCCATATCAACAGAACGATCAGTCTCTCCATATACATCTAGCAGCGGCTCCCCTACACCGCCAAGTGTAGAAGTTTCACCATTTATCAGATCGCTTCCAAATGCCGAAATTTTATCGGCAGACAACGCATCCTCAAGTGACGATTCTTCATGTAGCAGAGTGACGGAATCTTCAGTACCAGAGCGCTTAAATTCTTCGAGAGTTGCTGAAGTTGAGATAATTCCAGAAAATAACAAATCGCATAGGAAAAACGCTAGAACCAACTTCACTCAGGAACAAGTAAAGGCTCTGCTGAAAATATTCTACGAAACACCATACCCTGACTCAGAAATGATGGAAAACATCGGAAAAGATTTAAATATTACCGAAAAACAGGTTAAGGTAAGAAAAACCGTTGTTTATTTCTTTAAAATAATAAAGCATCATTATTTAAAAAATGAACGAAATTAATACATTGTTGCTTATCTCAAATGTTTCAGTTTATCTATTTAATCAAAGTGAATCAATGACAGTAGATAGATAGTATGATATTTAAATAGTGTATCTCTTGAAACAGACATATATTTGTAACTCATTTTAAAAGCTCATTAATTTAAGTGTACACATCTTTTTGGTCGTTAGATTGGAACAAATTAATTTTACCACCGTTTCCTTCAATAGTCGATGAAAAAATCCGCTTGTTGTAAGTTATTTCGTTAAAGTTAATATTCAATTAAAATAACACTAATTTGCAAAAAATTCTTTAAACACCATACACTTTTACGTAATTTTAAAGTTTTACGAATGCTTACCTTCTTTTAAACAGATATGGTTCCAAAACAAAAGAGCAAGATGGCGTAGACGCACACACGACAACAAGAACCACGTACAGTCCTTCTTTCCAACAACGCCGATGATGCCACAGGCAACGTCATTTGGATACATGCCAACAGGACATATGATGATGTCATCACCTCTTAATAATTTTCATGGATACATGAGTTATCCCTGGATGCAGGGATATGCCAGTCATAATTTTATGAATCAGCATCTTCTGGGACAGAAATTAGACAATCATTTTCCTCTTAATAAACAAACGGCCAATCAGAACGCGGCATTTAAATATGATGCTTCTTATGCTTTGAACACAGATCCGTCTGTTTCGACCATCCCATCTGCTCAATATGGAAGGATGCTACCGCAGCAGAATTTATCAAACCAAAACAGACAGCCTTTGAAATTTCCTGGTTATGTTTAAGCATCAATTTAAAACTTGTTGTGTTATTGTTTTGTAATGTTATTGACATTTGTTATTTAAAGTGCTTTGCTTATCAATACTAGAATAAATTATTCATTGTTGATAAGAAATCTATGCTGTTATATAAAAAACAGATGATTATTAGGACATGTACATTAATAAAAATATATATAAAAACAAGTTTGTTTGTTCTATTAAATAACATAAAACAATAAGGTAAACAATAAGATTAAAAAAAAGATATATACTTGTACCCTTGAAACATACATGACCTCAATCATACATTAAATATCGTTATAAACTATATATTGATATGAAGAATTATGAAAAAATTAAATAACAATGTTACATGTACTAGAATATCGAAGCAATGTCTCGTAGTAAATGATGCAAAAAAACAAGTTTAGATACTTCTGTGATCATTTAATATACAAAAAGGTGACATGAAGTAATAAGAAGCAGTCAATGTCATTGACGCTTAACTGAGATTAAGGAAAATCACGATCAGAAACCCCCAACAAATTATTATTACTATATTTGATAATTGTGTTGATTTAAGCTTTTTAAAGGCTACACATGTACAGTATCAATATGTTACTTCACAGAGTGTTTTTTCCTCATTCATAGTACATTCTATGTTATAACTTAACTGCTGTTACGATTATCAAGTAAAATTATAAAATAACTTCTCAAAAGCCAAATTGCATATTGACATTGCTTGATTGTACTTCAAGAACGAATCGATACATTTTCCTTATGAAGGTACATATAATAGAAAACATGTCGACATTACTAAACATAAGTATGGATTACTTAATATAGCACGGTGACAATATCGGAGAAGGTCATAACGACAAACTCTTCAAGTATAAATACATTAATGTTGTGTTGACTTACATAATTATATATGTATAGTATCATTTCATATAAATGTAAACCAAAACATATACTTGATAAATGTTTAAAATTTTAAACATATGTAAAATTACATATATTTAACAAATGATAGATACAGTTTATACATGTACTGGATATATCAAGACAAGAAACATAGAATATATTTGATGCATATTTAATTCATTTGTAATGATAATAACATAAACATATCACCCTTACCGAAAAGAAACTACAAGGCTGATAATATTTTATAAATAAACAATCATGTTCAAATGACTTTATCATCATTTATATTTTCGTTTTATATAAAAAGGAGATATCTCTACAAATTGAGGTCATCGCATGCAATAAATTAAATATGCACACCGCACAATTAATTTTTAACATTATTTATGTGTCATAGCTCTTTCGCCATTGAGACAAAAGTAAATTAAGAAAGTATTAAAAGTCGCCCTAGAATATACCAATCAATTGAAAAATATATATCACTTAAATAGTACGCAAAATTCAACCGTTAATCCTCAAGTAATAAGATTCGTTATGTAATAATATCAGTATACTTAGACACTATGTAAAAATTAATGACTACATGAGATTGTTTCTACTAATGGTACACTATTCAACGGAAATTGAATTGAATTGAATATTCAACAAGAGAAAGTGCACACTTTGTGACCTGGATGTGTTAGGCACTTGAATACAATATCTATTATTTTGTCCTTTTTTACATGTCATATGTCCATTTCTTATTTACAATATAAGTTTAACGTTTTATAAGAAATAAGAATGGATATAAAATAACACGACAAATTAAAGCAGTTGTCTAACTTTTGCAAGTTCTAATGACCACATTTTAGTAATCATAATACGTATACAACTACATGTACTATTTAGCAAATGAACCCTTATTTTTAACTTCATTGTATTATAAATACAGAAGATGCCTATTAACATATATATAATGTAAAGAGCATTGTACTTATTATTAACTTCATTTATTCATATTAACATCAATTACGTGTAATAAAAGGAAATTTTCTTGATACGCTTTATGCTTGATACATTATATGCTTGATACACTGCAGGCTTGATACGCTATACTTTTGATAAACTATATAGTTTTAAGCAAAACAGTATCTAATACGCCATTATTGCTTGAGACGCTGTTTGCTTGATACGCTGTTTGCTTGATACGCTGTTTGCTTGAGACACTGTTTAGCTTAAAACAATATATGCTTGATACGCTATAAGCTTGATATGCTATAAGCTTCGTACGGTATATATACTTGATATACTATACTGTATACACTTGATACGCCTTTATGCTTAAAGCGCTATATATGCCTGATGCGCTCTATCCTTGATACACTATATATTCTTTATGCGCTCAATGCTACATATGTTAAAAGCTTGATACCCTATATAATTGATATGCTATAAGCTTGATACGCCATATACTTGATATGCTATATGCTTGATACGATAATGATTGATACGATACATGCTTGATACAATACATGCTTGATACCATATATGCTTGATACGCTATAACCTTGATACGCTATAAGCGTTGTGCGCGAAATGCCTGATATGTTATCAGCTTGATACGCTATATAATTGATATGCTATAAGCTTGATACGCCATATACTTGATACGCTATATGCTTGATACGCTATAATTTTGATACGCTATAAGCTTGATACGCTATTTGCTTGATACGTTATAAGCTTGCTACGCTATATGCTTGTTACGCTATAAGCTTGATACGTTATAAGATTGATACGTTATGAGCTTGATACGCTAAAAGCTTAATACGCCATAAGCTTAATACGATATTTGCTTGATAGGCTATATGCTTGACGAGCTATAAGCTTGATATGCTATAAGCTTGATGCGCTATATGCTAGATACGCTATAAGCTTGACATGCTATATGCTTGATAGGCTATAAGCTTGATACACTATAAGCTTGATACCCTATAAGCTTGATACGCTATACGCTATAAGCTTGACACGCTATATGCTTGATAGGCTATAAGCTTGATACACTATAAGCTTGATAAGCTATAAGCTTGATACGCTATTTGCTTGATAGGCTATAAGCTTGACACGCTATATGCTTGATACGTTATAAGCTTGATACGTTGTAAGCTTGATACGCTATATGCTTGATACGCTTTAAGCTTGATACGCTATTTGCTTGATAGGCTATATGCTTGAAAACCTATATGCTTGATAGGCTATAAGCTTGATACGCTATATGCTTGATACGCTATAAGCTTGATACGCTATATGCTTGATACGCTATAAGCTTCATAAGCAATATGCTCGATACGATACATGCTTGATACGATAATGCTTGATACGATAAATGCTTGATACGCTACAACCTTGATATGCTATAAGCTTTGTGCGCTAAATGCTTGATATGTTATAAGCTTGGTACGCTGTTTGCTTGATAGGCATAGTTTAAGATAGATCCCACAAAAGCATCAAACAATTGAAGCGATATCGAAGGGCTAAGTTCATATTGTTTTATATTATTTAGCAGTATATTTGAGGCTTTTAAGGCCTTTCCGACTATGTACTGGTTATTTAATACGAATGAGCCGGTATAATTAAACACCACCCCTAGGTAGTTGAAGTCATTAACTATTTCTAGAGGCACATTATTGAAATGCCAGCGCTCATTACATTTAAGCCCACCCCTACGTCGAAACACCACTATCTTGGTCTTAGATGTGTTGACTTGTAGGCCCCAGTACTGGCAGTACTCGTATAATTTGTCTAAACTGGCCTGCAAATCTTCAACAGAATGGCCAATAATTGCCATATCATCGGCGAATAGCAGTATGATAAGGCACATATCATAAATAGATAAACCTGATTTAATGGATCCTTGCAGGAAAAGTTCCAAGTCTTCAAGAAAAAGGGCAAACATGACTGGCGAATTATTTAGGCCTTGCCTCAATCCAATGGAAATATTGAAAAAGTCAGAATAGGAATCAGAATGTTTAACACAAGACTTAACTATATTATACATAGACCTAAACATTTTTAAAAGTTTTCCATCCAACCCAAGATGATACAATTTAAACCACAGTGCCTGTCGATAAACGGAGCAATGAGGTATTTCCTAGGCGTCGGCAAATATACACCTAATGCGGCTTTAGCAGGAGAAATGGCTTGGCAGCCCCCCGTTGTTCGCCAATGGAAAACAATAGCTTCTTATTGGGCTTGTATTTGTAACACCCGTTCTACTCGTATTAATAAGCGAATTGCAGTTTGGGCAAGTGTTAAAGCTGGTACATCATGTAAAAACTGGTTCTTTTCTGTGAAGAAGCAAATAAATGATTGTAATTTAGTCAACTGTTCTGATGTAAATGTAAATGTTTCTAAAGCCTACATTGTTGAAGGTATACAATCATATATGACAAACAAGTTTATTGCTGAATGGCTTGAAACTATCAATAGGGCCACGAGTGTTACTAGTAGAGGTGGTAACAAGCTTAGAAATTATTGTACATATAAGTCAGAATTTACCACAGAGCACTATCGTAATATGATTATGCCTCCCCAGCATCGCTCACCATACTGTAAATTTCGTTGTGGGGTAGCGCCTATTCGAATTGAAACTGGGAGATTCGAAAATTTAAATATAGAAAATAGAACATGTCCGTTTTGTCAAGCAATTGAAACTGAATGTCATGTTATTTTCGATTGCCCTTTGTACAATGACCTTAGAATTTCTTTGCTAAATACAATTTTGTCAATAGAACCAAACTTTTACGATATGCAGGATATTGATAAGCTGAAACTTGTATTTTCAAATCATTCACTTATTAGAATTTGTGCCAAAACCTGTAATGATATTTTAAATAGGAGACAATTTTATCTGTGTAAATAATGTAATTTCTTTTTATGTGATATCTATATCTTTTAACTTCTCCTAGGAAGTAGATGCTAATCTGTTCATCCACGATCTGATCGGGGTGATACCTGATTCTTTAACACATTTTTTTGAACTGCGCAATAGTGCCTTTTTTCCACATTCAGTTTTTTATCGTCGTGTATTTTAATGATTTTTTATTTAATGATTAGCGTCTGCTTCTTAGCTTTAACGATATAAGCATGCATATAGTATATATAGCAGTAATTACGTAAGTCTTTTTATTCGTTGAATTGTTACTAAAGTCTCTTATAACTCAATATATGAGTGGCAATGTACTTTTTAAATCATGTTATATATGTTCTATGTATATTGTTGTATGTATGTACATTGATGAGACTAAAATAAAGA